TAAGACGGTAGGGACTGGAGTGGCTGTGAGGAGCTACCCCAAGTCCAAGGGCAAAGGAGAAGCCCCAGCAAGATGGCAGGAGGGGCAAATTCATTTAAAATCAAACCCTGTTCCCGCCAGAGAGGTTCAGAGGGCTCAAACAAACCTTGTGTGCACCAGGACCCAGGAACCCCACAGAGAATGAGGCAGAACTGTTTCAGCATCTCCTGTGGAGGTGCTGGTCAGCAGTGGTCTGCCGCAGGGAGAGGGGCTTTGGGTGTGGGTATGTATGGCATAAGCCCTCTTGGAGGAGGTCGCCATTAACCCCACTACAGAGCTGCCAGAACTTACATAGGACTGGGAAATAGACTCTTGGAGGGCACAACAGAACTTTGTACACCAGGACCCAGGAGAAAGGAAAGGTGACCCCACAGGAGACTGGCCTGTGGGTGTCCAGGAGTCTCTGGTGAAGGTGTGGGTCGGTGGTGGCCAGCTGCAGGGTTGGGGACTGTAGCAGTACATCCTGGGATCATTTGAGGGAGGTCACCATTATCCTCATTACCTCCACCATAGTTTGGCCCCAGATAAATAGCAGGGAGAGAACACAGCCCCACCCATCAACAGAAAATTGGATTAAAGATTTACTGAGCATGGCCCTGCCCATCAGAACAAGACCCAGTTTCAAAAAATAAATAAATAAATAAAAATTAAAAATAAAAAAAGACCCAGTTTCCCCTCAGTCAGTCTATCTCATCAGGAAGCTTTCATAAGCCTCTTATCCTTCTCCATCAGAGGGCAGACAGATTGAAAACCACAATCACAGAAAACTAACCAATCTAATCACATGGACCACAGCCTTGTCTAACTCAATGAAAGCATGAGCCATGCCGCATAGGGCCATCCAAGACAGATGGCAAAATGTGATCCACTGGAGAAGGGGATGGCAAACCACTTCAGTATTCTTGCCTTTAGAACCCCATGAACAGTATGAGAAGGCAAAAAGATAGGACACTGAAAGATGAACACCCCAGGTCGGTAGATGCCCAGTATGCTACTGGAGGTCAGTGGAGAAATAACTACAGAAAGACTAAGGAGATGGAGCCGAAGCAAAAAAAGACCCAACTGTGGATGTGACTGGTGATGGACACAAGGCACAATGCTATAAAGAGCAATATTGCATAGTACTCTGGAATGTTAGGTCCATAAATCAAGGCAAATTGGAAATGATCAAACAGGAAATGACAACATGAACATCAACGTTTTAGGAATCAGTGAACTAAAATGGACTGGAATGGGTGAATTTAATTCAGATGACCAGTAGATCTACTAGTGTGGGCAAAAATCCCTTAGAAGAAATGGAATGGCCATCATAGTCAACAAAAGAGTCTGAAATGCAGTACTTGGATGCAATCTCAAAAAAGACAGAATGATGTCTCTTCATCTCCAACCTTTCAATATCATGGTAATCCAAGTTTATACCCTGACTGGTAATGCTGAAGAAGCTGAAGTTGAATGGTTCTATAAAGACCTACAAGACCTTCTAGAATTAACTGCCCCAAAAGATGTCCTTTTCATTATAGAGGACTGGAATGCAAAAGGAAGTAGTCAAGAAACACCTGGAGTAACAGGCAAATTTGACCATGCAGTATAGAATGAAGCAGGGCAAATGCTAATAGAGTTCTGGCAAGAGAATGCATTGTTCATAGCAAACACCCTCTTTCAACAACAAAACAGAAGACTCTACACAAGGACATAACCAGATGGTCAACACTAAAATCAGATTGATTATATTCTTTGCAGCCAAAGATAGAAGAGCTCTATATAGTCAGCAAAAACAAGATTGGGAGCTGACTGTGGCTCAGATCATGAACTCCTTATTACCAAATTCAGACTGAAACTGAAGAAAGTAGGGAAAACCACTAGACCATTCAGGTATGACCTAAATCAAATCCCTNTGAATATTCTTTGGAAGGACTGATTTTGAAGCTGAAACTCCAATACTTTGGCCACCTGTTGCAAAGAACTGACTCCTTGGAAAAGATCCTGATGCTGGGAAAGATTGAAGGCTGGAGGAGAAGGGGGCAACAGAGGATGAGATGGTTGGATGGCATCACTGTCTCGATGGACATGAGTTTGAGTAATCTCAGGGAGTTTGTGATGGCAGGGAAGCCTGGCGTGCTGCAGTCCATGGGGTCCCAAATAGTTGAACATGACTGAATGACTGAACTGAACTGAACTGAACATCAGAGGGTTGCACCGGAGCACATTCCTCAAAGTCTCATTGGATATGCCTCCATCCCACTTCCTTTCATCCAGTATTTTTTGGGGGAAAACAGATATTTGAATTAGCAAGAAAAAGTAAGACTATTAGAATCTCTGTATGATACAAAGAACAGATGACTGTATTATTTTATGGTCAATGTAATTTGCTGTATCACCCATTAAGTGATTATATAACTGCTAAGAAAAATTAAACAATGTAAATAGCCAATCACAGAGTATCACAGAGTAGTGTACAAACAAAAATCAAGGGAGGTGGGAGGGGGTATCGGGATGGGGAATACATGTAAATCCATGGCTGATTCATGTCAATGTATGACAAAAACCACTACAATATTGCAAAGTAATTAGCCTCCAATGAATAAAAATAAATGAAAAAAAAAAAATTCAAGGACCAGAGCAGCCAAAATCAGAGCAAGCAGAGGCATTGCAAGTTACAGGACCAACTTCAGAACCTGAAGAAAAGGAAATGTATGTCTAATAACTTCTAGAAAACATTGGGATGGTCAAGTTGCTGGTCTGGAATTTACAGTATGCAGAAACTCAGCCTGAGCTAAAAAAATAAAACAAACAAAAAAACACTGTTATTCTTCAGAGGCCAGGAACTCCTTATTCCAGATCGAGACATTTCATGATTATGAGGCTTGATTTCTCTCTCTCTGTATCTTTTTTCATGCATAACTTTAAGTTTTCCTTAACATGACTCTTATAATACCATCATTTGCCTTCTCTCTCCTACAAATATTCACAGACACTACTTTTTCAATAAGAAACACCATTTTACCACTTTCTCTTTGTTTTATTATCATATTCATCATATTTTCTACTCACTATTTGCTTCCAGCTGCAGAGAGCTACATACATAGACTTGTTCTATATTTTCACTAATGCTTTTGGTTTTGTTGTTCTTTTTCTGATTCTCAGTTATTATAATACATATTCTAAATTTTCCTAATCTCTGCACTAATGGCACCTGCATGTGAGTTCAAAATTTGTCATGTGAAAACAATGACTATTTTTATTATAGAGTCCATGGTTATGTTTCACAAAAAATAAGTTATAAATATATTATGAGATATTCAATTACAAAGATGTTGAATTGATATCAATAACAAGCTACAAGTGCAGCATAAGACTTAATGTAGACTTGGATTTAGGGAATGTGAATGAGATAGACACTTAAATGATGAAAGTTTGTTTCTAAAGGATACAATTCTTCAAGAACAATTCCAAACTGGTAGCCTATTGGGGGGGGGTTGCTTTTAATTTATAAAGGAATTGTGATTAGTCCTTAGATATACATTTATATGTTTTAACTACTCTAGAGAAAAACAAAGTTCTATTATACGAAAAGGAAAGAAACAGCTGACTAATAGCTCAAATTGTATTTCTGCCTGTTTCATAATAATTCTTGTGGTTACTGCTGTGTCCCTGGAATTTGTGACACTTCTGATTGTCATTTAATTAACTCTCCTCCCCTACCCCTTGCCATCCACCTGTGACTTTAAATATTTATTTTCATGCTTCCAAAGGCCATCCATTTGTTCTCTGGCAGTAAACTACCTGCTTGTAAGTCCTACATATGTAAGGAGACAGAATGAAGAGAAAAGCAAGTTAATCTACCCAGAGGTATAATTACATCAGTGTAAAGCAAATTTGAAAATGTTTATTTCATATGGTGCTTTTGACAGAATCATAATTTGTCTGGCTTTGTATTATTTATAACTCATAATAGCATAGTTGGAGAAGGGAATGGCAACCCACTCCAGTATTCTTGTCTGGGAAATCCAATGGACAGAGGAGCCTGGTGGGCTAGAATCCATGGGGTTACAAAAGAGTCAGGCATGATTTAGCAACTAAACAACTACAAAACAATAGCATAATAGAAATCATGGCATTTATTACCACTAAGAACATGATTTATAGGAAGTGTTGATGAACTACAGTATAGCATACCAAAATCCAAATTTCCAAATTATTGGGTTACTCAATGAGCACTTAATTGAAAAGGGCCCTTACTGCCTGGGGGGAGTGTGAGGCTACCAAGAAAATAATGAAACTGTCCTCTGGCCTTTGCAGCTCAAGGCTCTAGAAACCTGGGGCAAATTCTCAAAACACTTCTAATTTAAAGTTTACTGCTACTGAATATACTTTATTAGATAATTTGAGTTTCAGATCTCTGTAATATAGAGTGTCAGGCAGTAGGGTGGTAGATTCTATTGATTCTGGAGTCAGGCTGCTTGTGTTCAAATGCTACTTTAGCACTTTATGATTTTCTGAGCATCATTTCATCTCATTGTGCTGATTCCCTCAACTGTTAAATTGAAGTAATAATAGAACCCATTTTATATTAATACAGTTATTTGAAAGACTGACAGATAATACATATAAATTGCTTTGATCAGTGCTTTGTACATAGTATATGTTCAATAAATGTTAACTGATCCCAAGATCAGCACAACTAAATTCATTACATTACAAACTGTTACTGGCCAGAGATTTCCCCTTTTCTTATCCTCACCTTTAAATTTTTAAGATTGCCAATTCTATTAATGCCTGCTCATACTCTTTCCATGTAATCTGCTTTTCATACCTCCAGTATACTCAAATTGTCCTTCTGTATTTCACTGAAAGAATTAAAAAGGTTTTATGGGATAATGGAAACAGTAAGATTTGATGACAGTATTGTTCAGGCATTTTCAGAATTATTTACATTCTCCTTGAAGATATCAGTATCATACCTTTCATGACATACACCTTCATTTTCCCTGGATGTATTGAGCATTCTTCTATGACACCCTTCTACCATTGTGACTTTTCTTTCAAATTCCATATCAAGCTCACAAGGGTGCCACAAGGGTATTTAGTACCTTCATGAAGATTTCATCCTCTTATATGACATCATAATCCAAGACATTGTAGATCATTCCATAATCTATACTATTAATCTAGAACATCAATTAGAGGTCCTAACATTCAAAGAGGTACTTTGCTATCATACTTTAAGTTACACAAATTTTCTATATATCCATATTAATAATATATTTTTTAAAAATTTTGCTTTACAATATAGCCCCTATGATCTCTTTGTCTTCATCCTATAAAATATGTTGGGATTAACGGTCTAATTTCAGTTGACTTATAATTGTAAAGGGTCAAATTACTCATCCTGATACTACTAAAAAACAGAAAACAAAACCCATAAATTTACTCTTCCAGTATCATCAACCAGCCTTTCTCTATAACCCTAAAAGCACGACTTGCTTATTCCCCGACAGTCCTGCCGAAGCCCTTTTCTATTATTTCCTTCCCTCAGTCTTTGGAACAGCCCTCTATGTAATAAACTCAGGATGTGATTGTCTTCACATATGAACTAGCTCCGCCCTCTCTCGCAGCCGTCTGAGGATTGCTGGTGCTCCTTCACTAGGTCCTGTCCAACTCTTGGCCATCCCTGGACTGCAGCACGGCAGCTTCCCTGTCCTTCACTATCTTCCTGAGTTTGCTCAAACTGGCCCATTGAGTCGGTGATGCCATCCAAACATCTCGTTCTCTGTCGCCCCCTTCTCCTGCCCTTAATCTTTCCCGGTATCTGGGTCTTTTTCACTGAGTCAGCCCCTTGAATCTGACAAGACATGGTGCACTGGAGAAGAGGATGGCAAAATACTCCAGCATTCTTGCTTTGAGAACTGCGTGAAGAGTACAAAAAAGCAAAAATGTATGATGCTGGGAGATGAGCACCCCAGATCAGTAAGTGTCCCATATACTACTGAGGAAGGACACAGAAGTATCTCCTTGAGTTGTGCTCATTTAACATGCTAGCAAGGTAATACTCAAAATTCTTCAAGCTAGGCTTCAGCAGTATGTGAATTGAAAAATTCCAGATGTTCAAGCTGGATTTAGAAAAGGCAGAGGAAACAGAGATCAAACTGCCAACATCTGTTGGATCATAGAAAAAGCAAAGGAATTCTAGAAAAATATCTACTACTTCCTCATTCACTATCCTAAAGCCTTTGACTGTGTAGATCACAAAAAAAAACTGTGAAAAATTCTTGAATAGATGGGAATACAAGACCACCTTACGTACCTCCTGCATAACCTGTATGCAGGTCAAGAAACAACAGTTAGAACCAGACATGGAACAACAGTCTGATTCAAACTTGGGAAAGGAAGTATATGAAGGCTATATATTGTCATCCTGCTTATTTAACTTATCTGTGGGGTACATCATATGAAATGCCAGACTGGATGAATAACCAGCACACACATATATATAAAGAAATACTATAATCCTAAATATTTTAAAGATAAAATAAAAAGGAATAAATTATTTAAATCCAGCATAGTTAAAAATAATAGAATAATTACAATAACAATAACAACAAAAGAATTTAGATAAAAAATAGTACAAATAGAAAATCCAGAAAATGTGTCCTCTAAAGACTGAAAATTTTATGCGTGCATGCAAAGTCACTTCAGTCATGTCCTACTCTTTGTGACCCCATGGACTGTAGCCTGCCAGGCTTCCCTGTCTATGGGGTTACTATGGACAACAATACTAGATTGGGTTCCCATTCCCTCCTCCAGGGGATCTTTCCACCCAGGGATCAAACCCATATCTCTTATGAGTCTCCTGCATTGACAGGAGAGTTCTTTATGACTGGCATCACTTGGCATATCTTACAAATAAATCATTGAAAATAAAGTCACAAATACATGGCAATATCAATGGTGCAATGTAGCTGTATAGATTAAACACATTTTAAAAACAAAAGAGAATTATGTCAGTTTGCTAATTAATTTGAAAATCATAGTAAGCTGTATATAGTTTAAGAAAAGAATTGATGAATTGTGAATTAAAAATGAATTAGTTCTTCATTAAATAAATTTCATCATAAGTCTATCAGAGTATCAACAAACACAATAGCAAATTATCTTTCAACATTCCTGTATGATACTGAGTCCAGATGGATTTAGGTGAGATTTCCATGACATTTTTAGGCAATAAATTAGACCTATGTTATTAAAATTGCTTGAGCACACAGACAAGTTAAAACTATTTCTCATTGCATTTTTGAACTCAGTATATACCCTTTCAGTAGGAAACATTTTTAAAAACACAGATAAAACTCTGCATAATGTACTTGTGAATTAAATTTGGTATCATTTAAAAATTAAATATATCAGATCAACTTGTGTGTATCCTTAAAATTCAAAGATGATCCAATTAGGAAATTCATTAGCTACAAATTAGATTAAACAAGCTAAAAATAGATTTGATCAAATTCAACATTCACTTCTAGCAATATAACAAAAACAGAACAGGCTATTGCTCCAGCATAATAAAATTAGCATTGTATCAAACCAAAAGCAGTAGTCGTGGTTAATGTTTAAATATTCCACTGACAAAAGCATTTCTATAAAGAATCAATAACAAGACTTAGGAAGCTCACTATCACCCTAAAACAATGATAAAATAAAGTAAAACAATGAAATAAATATTGAAAAACAAGAGAAAATATTTTAATATTGTATATTTGATTGCCACTCTGAACAGTTCAAAAAAGATATTAAAATATTTAGTTCATTACAAAATATTTTAAATGCAACTTTCCTAAGTAAAAGAAATAATCAGCTATATAAGAATTAGATCATCTCATTAGCAAAGTTGCCCAATGTAAATAATAAACTGAGTGACATCTATAAATGTGTTATATAAAAATCATAGGAATTAAACTGATGGATAAAATAATTTAAATAAATGTAATGGTATAGTAGGTCCCTTAATAAGAATGCTCAAGGTTATCAGACATGTATTGATTCTCAAATTAGCCTATTAATTTAGTTATTAAATTTTTAATGAAAAAGTTCATTAGATTTTGGAACTGGAAAATAATGTTTCTTAAATTCATCTTGGAGTATAATATATAGACTCATGTAAGAAACAGTGTTGTAGGTCTTCATAAAACCATTCAATTTCAGCTTCTTCATCATTACTGGTCGGGGTATAGACTTGGATTACCGTGATATTGAGTGCTTTGCCTTGGAAATGAACAGAGATCATTCTGTCGTTTTTGAGATTGCATCCAAGTACTGCATTTTGGTCTCTTTTGTTGACCATGATGGCTACTCCATTTCTTCTAAGGGATTCCTGCCCACAGTAGTAGATATAATGGCCATCTGAGTTAAATTCACCCATTCCAGTCCATCTTAGTTCGCTGATTCCTAGAATGTCAATGTTCACTCTTGCCATCTCCTGTTTGACCACTTCCAATTTGCCTTGATTCATGGACATAATGTTCCAGGTTCCTATGCAATATTGCTCTTTACAGCATCGAATCTTGCTTCTATCACCAGTCACNCCATGACCAGTCCTATCCACAATTGTGTGTTGTTTTTGCTTTGACTCCATCCCTTCATTCTTTCTGGAGTTATTTCTCCACTGATCTCCAGTAGCATATTGGGCACCTACCGACCTGGGGAATTCATCTTTCAGTGTCCTATCTTTTTGCCTTTTCATATTGTTCATGGGGTTCTCAAGGCAAGAATACTGAAGTGGTTTGCCATTCCTTTCTCTGGTGGACCACATTCTGTCAGACCTCTCCACCATCACCCATCAGTCTCGGGTGGCCCCACACAACATGGCTTAGTTTCATTAAGTTAGATAAGGCTGTGGTCCATATGATCAGCTTGGCTAGTTGTCTGTGATTGTAGTTTCAGTCTGTCTGTCCTCTGATGCCCTCTCTCAGAGCCTGCCGTCTTACTTGGGTTTCTCTTACCTTGGATGTGGGGTAGCTCCTCTAGGCCGCGCTCGTGTGCTGTCGCAGCCACCATCTAAGGGATGTAGTAACTGAGAATACCTGAACTACTCAGTTTCCCCTCTTCCCTTTCCTCTTCTCTGCTAACAGGGACCGGGTCGTAGCAGTTTTCGTGCAGGGTCCTGCGTGGCAGTTCAAAGGTTGGCCGTGGCTTTTGCCTGATGGATCACCAGTTGACATATTTGCTAAAAGTAAGATTCTCTTTATTTTTACTGCTTATCTAATGTAGAAATGTTTTTGCTTTATTAAAGAGAAAGAGTCATCTATGGCTCTGCACATGTGATGTGTATATCAAAGGATTCTTACTATGTACCATATATTTTTATTTTTAAACACCTGTGAAATATTTTAAAGTGTTTTTTTGGAATATTAATATTTTCTGTGTATATCTAAAAGTGAATTATTGCCTATGTTTCAGCGTTAGTAATTAATTTGTAGGTTGCTTAGAAATCATTAATCTTGTTTCATGTACAGACATGTAAAATTGATTGCCAGTCTTTAAACAGGCTGACTTTTGTGGAACTAACAGTGCCGCTTGACTGTTGCCCGCTGTTCTCACTGTCTGAGACGGTTGCAGAGGAATTGGCCCTTTGCTGTTGGTTCAGGTCGTAGCCAGTTACTCTCTCCTTTAGGGATCCCCTCCTCTGACTGTCCTGGAAGTGACCATTACTTTCTCCTGGTGATCTCATGGTAACATTCATTGCTTGACTTGACCTCATTTTTTTTTTTAATCTCATTTTTATATCTGTATTGTAAGTCCTCCCTGGCTTATTGCCAGTTCCAGGATGTGAGGGGTGTCATTTGACTCATTGACTGTCATGTAATCAGCACGGAAAAGAGCATGGCATTGGGAAGCATTTTGTAGAGGTGTAAATTTCGTGTATCATATCTTGTATTGATCATATTTTGGCATTATTAATATATTTTGGCATTATTAATACATCAATAGTAGAGGAATGAAAGTCTGACTGAACAGAAATTCCATGAACTGTAGCCTGACCAGTTTCTCTGTCCGTGGAATTCTTCAGGCAGAGTACTGGAGTGGGTTGCCAGTTTCTTCTCCAGGGGATCTTCCTGACGCAGGGGTTGAACCTGGGTCTCCTGCGTTGCAGGCGGATTCTTTGCCATTTGAGTCACCAGGGAAGCCCTTTTAATTATTATTTGAGTACCCAGTGAAGTTAGTATCAGTAATAAAAGCATGTTTTAAAAAGCATCCTCATGAAACCAAGTATGTTTGTTAGAAATAACAACTTTAGTTGCTTTGAATGTAGATTGTACTACTGTGCTACTGTGAAACAACAAACAGCTGTTTGTTGTTTTAAATAAAGCAGTTTAGTTTTTGTCAGTGGTGCCACCATTCTTTTAGGCTGAAAATTACCCAAGCTTGAAAGCTTTTAATCATTATTCTCCTCCCTTCATTCAGTTTTAAAAATGAATGCTAATATGATGATAGTTTTTTGTGTTATTTCCAAAACCTGAGTAATGCACAGATTTGATAAATAGAAGTCAAAGATACAGGGAGAGTGGGAATTTTTAATGAAAGCAAAATGTCACTGAACACTAATTTTGTTGTGTTTTACCTACTTGCTTGCCTTGTTGAATAGTACTGTAATAAAAAATGATTAGAATGTCTTGAAGATAAAAATATTCTCCAAATTTCATTAAGAATATAACTTTTAATTGTGGTTTTGTTCAGATCATTAGTCTTCAGAAATTTAGATAAGGACTTAGAGATTTTTTTTTTTTAAGTTAACAATAATGATTTTCTTCCATGAATTACTTTCTCTTAAACCTTCCTTCTTTACTTAACCAGCATTTAAAATGAAAGTACTCTTGCCCTTCCATCTGAAACACATGGAAAGAAGCCCTTTCCTCTTCACCCCCCTTTTCTTCTAGCTTCCTCTCCTTTCCCTCCACAGCCACGCCTTTGAAGCCGTTGTCTGGCTCTCTGATTGATCTCAGGCAGCTGTGGTACTTGCCTGCTCACCCACTGAACTGCTCCCACAGGGATCCAGATATTGGCTACTTTTGGTCTCCTTATCAGATTACTCTTGATCCATTTCCTCCCCTTAAAATGTTCTTTTCTGAGGGCTTGTTGCTTTGACTCAGACTCTAGCTGTCTTTCCTCTGGCTTTCAGTGCCAGCAGTGACATTCCTGTGTTCCCGTTTCTCTTCTGCTTTAAGTATGGACACTCACTCGAGGAGATCTGGTGGCTTCCTGTCATTTCTGTCCTTAGTTCTAAGTTATGTCTCTGGCTGGTGTTCTGGGCCCTCCCTGTCTCACTGATGACCAGGTGGCTCCTGTGAAGTCCATTGGTGCATCGGACTCTGCCTGTTACGAGAGGAATCTGTTGTCTTACGTTCTCCATCATCCCCAGACTGTTCTTTTCCTCAGTGTTTTTAGTAATTTGCATAAGCCAGAAATTTAGAAATATGTTATCTCTTAGCTTTTAGCTGGTCTCCTTGTTGTAAATTAACTCTTGACTATTCTAGCTTCTCACCTTTCCTGCATAACCTACATTGAAAATGATAATATCTGTATAGCATAGGGGTAAACTGAGGGTACTTGGTAAAAAAATGTATTTTCTTCATGCTGCATAATAAATTACAGAGGTTTAGAGAAGATCTTAAACTCTATAAAATTGCCAAATAAAACCTTTTCAAAATTATGAGAAATTTGAGCTTGATACTGATTTTTTAAAATACTATTTTTTATGCTTCAGGTGGTTACATGCATTTGTTGACCAAGATTTTTAAATGACAGTTTCTTCAAATTTTTTGTTATCATTGAGAAAATTTTCTGATTTAATAATCTTCTCTATTATGCTGCCCCTTTGTCATTTTACATGCCATCATCTATCCACCAAAATGCTATTTAAGAGCACCTTTTCTGTTTCCTTTGTTTCTGCAAAAAATGTATTGACAACAATCATGCAGTTTGCAGAAAATGAACAACAACTTTGTAAAATTTTGCTTTAGTACTCCCAGATAACTGTCTTCTTATAAAAGAAACTTATTTCTTCTATTTTTGGTGAGGCTTAAAAACTATGTCTTTTTCTGAGTAAGAAAGATATTTTATGGTGATGTCTTGGTTTAAGTTTGCTTGCCACCATTGCTTCATGCTGTTAAGATACTTTGTGTAATGAAAGAAACTGTTTCCTCATTTTGTGGCTTAAACTTTTTGAACTCTGATATTCAGGTTTAGAAGAAATGCTATGTAAACTAAATCTATTGAAATTAGTAAAGGGGATTATTGGCCCTTGTGACTTTAGGTTAAGTCATTTAAAAAATTATAACTCATGTATTTTTAAGAACAATTTAAAACAAATAATGAGAAGATCAGAAAAGAGAAACATGTAATGAGCAGAGAGTACTGAACAGTGACTTCATTTGATTTAAAAATTTAAAGAAACAAATATTTTTTACATATATAGTAAGTATTTTGAAAATGGCTTTTCTGAATCCATAACATACAGCCCCTTTAATGAACTGGTTTAAATTGGTTAATTTGAATTAAATTCAAAATACATAATATACTCAGTGAGGAGACCTTTATTTATAAAACCAAATACTTAGCAATAATGTTTATGTGTTTTTTGGGCCATCAGAGGGTCACAAATGGTTTATTTTATATTTTAATCAAGACTTAGACCTTCATTAATTGTTAACATCAAAAGCCAGTAAGCTTGCAAGTGATATGGATCAAGCAGTCTATAAAGTAGCTATTAAAAACAATTAACAGTCAATCATTTTCTCCTTAGAAACTCTTAATACTAGATCATAATGGTGATAGTAATGTTTATATCTTGAATGTTGGAAGAAAAAGTAAAAAATGGAAAGAAAAGCAAAACGTCTTCCATGTGTACACGTAAAACTAACACTCCACTGATGATAAACTGATTGCACATGCAGTGATAAACTGCCAAGAGTGGTCCAATCAGATAGAAGATCAAGGAGGAAGATTCAGTCAGTGTTTTGTGGTCACCTGTCAACCTTGGCAGCATACACTTGTTGGGAACTTTTGTCCTAGAGTCTCTAATCTCCCCAACACCTAGAGATTATCTTTTCAAAGTGAAAATCAGATAATTTTACCTTCTTGCTTCAAACTACCCAGTGGTTTATTATCACATTTGAAATAAATTTCAGAATTTTTTTTTTTAACCATGGCTGAGTAGGATCTACATGTAGGACATTGCCTACAGAGAGTTGTTCTTGGGTAGGGCATTCTGAGCTTGCTTCTGTCGCAGGGCCTTTGTACCAACTGTTCCTTCTGCCTGAAATCCTGTTTTTCAGGATCTTTGCTAGCCTCTTTTTATATCAAGTAAATATCTATTTCCAAGTCACTTTCTCTAGAGACCTTCCAGTTCTTCTTCCTTTTTCATTATTTCTTGCCATATCCCATTTGTTCTATCACTTGCTAATTACTTCTTGAATCTTTCCTGTCATGTGTATCTTCTTCCCAGTAGAGCAGAAGTGTCTGTCTCTCCTCTAGGTTTTATACCGTATCATTGGTCTCTGCTAAACACTTTGCAGAGTGAGTCGTCATGTCTCTTAAGCAACCATCCAAGCTCCTTAATGTGACCTTTAGGACCAACACTGCTCTGTGGTCTTATCCTTCATCCATTTCCTATGTTACTTTGCATGATGCAACTTTGTTAAATTTCTCTAGTTTCTAAACTGAACCATTTCCTCTTTGAACATGCTCTTTTGTTAATTGGATCACTTTTGTTCTGTGTTTGCCTAATTCTTATGCCACCCTACCTATCCAAGCTTTTTCTGAATCCTGTAATCTGGGTAAACTACTCTCTGGTGTTTCTGTGATATTCTGCTACCTTTATCATGCTGTATGTGAGATGGTGTTTTCTTATTACCCTTCACTGGATCGTACACGTTTTATTTTACCTCATTCTTCATTGCAGTCCCCAGTGGCTGGTGTGTATAAGCCTCAGTAAGTTTTTGTTGAATTAAATGTTTTGGGAGATACTCCAGTGCCTAGCCTCTATTTCAGAGATCACTTAGGTTGTGATGCAGCTTTGTTGGTAGAAGAGAGATTGAACTTTTTTTTTTTTTTCTTTTAAGTTTTTTTGGTTAATGTCTGTGGTTGGTATTTTATTCCTTTATAAAATATTTTTATAATGTTGATTGCAGTTTGAATAAAGAACATTATTTCTCCTACTTCTAGTTAAAGCCTTCCATCTCAAATATGATGAAGTTCGTCTGGACCCAAACGTTCAGAAATGGGACGTAACAGTATTAGAGCTCAGCTATCACAAACGTCATCTGGACAGACCAGTTTTCTTACGATTCTGGGAAACATTGGATAGGTAATCGTAATCCTAAAATGCACTTACTTCTGTTTCATTGCAGTGGTTTTCCTGTCTTCTCAGTTGCATTTTAAGTTCTTTAGAGTTGTGAACCATACCCCCCAGCTCCCCTTTCAAACATTGCCTAATTTGATGTTGATCTAAAATAGGTAATTAACACAGTATCTTTGTTGTATTGACTTTGGAAACAAAGGGAGAAACGGCTTAAAGCTTAGTAGAGAGAAAACTAAACCTGAGTTCAAAGACTCAGATTTGGTCTTGGTTTTGCAATTTGACTCTAATGAACCCTGTGACTTTTCTGAACCTTGTTTTCTGTCTACCCAAGGAACTGGCTTTAAGCAGTCCCTTCATTTTTTGACAGCACCTTTTGAAAGGTTTCTGACTCTACTTGAGGTATGGGTAGCTGGTAGCTCGTGAAAGGAATTTGGTTTTTTAATTTATCTTAATCACTGGTATAAATTGTTTTTTTCTAAAGCCCTTTACAATAATACAGTTTTATAATTTGGAAAGTAAGGACAGCGTATGATCACAGTACCATTGAACCTGTTCTAGTTTGAGGTGCTTTTTAAAGCCTGTAACTTTCTTGGTCTCTCACCAAATATTATGTGTTTCCTCAGAGTCAGAGATGATTGAGATAACCCAGTGGTTGCAATTGATAATATATTAAAGAGAGTCATTATCCTAGCCAGAAGCTCTTACATTGTAGAAATTAATAAGATGAATGGTTTTTTCTGGCTTCAGAAATCTTTATGTTCCCAAAGGTTATAGTATCTACTTTTTAGAAAGCAAAACATCCTGTTCCACTGTTGATTTTAAGCTTTAATAATACCAACTATTTTTACATGTAGTATTCTAAAAATTCTAAACTTCCTATAATCATTATGACCTATTACAATATTATTTTCAGGTACATGGTAAAGCACAAATCCCACTTGAGATTCTGAGTTACTACTTGTTTTCTTGCTTTTCTGGAAATCTGAACTAAGATGATAACACCGCGGATACACCGTGATACACCGTGCTCTAAAGACTGGGACTGAAGCTTTATGAATTTATCAAGAACTTAAAAATGAAGAAGGTCACGGATTGATCTTTTATAAAACCTTATTTGATGATTTATGCTTCAAAGGGATGATGCCTGTCATCCATATAAGCAAACTTTTTGGCTTACAGCTATTTTTTTAATATTAGTCTTCTAGTCTGTAATGGAAATTGTATATTTTGATAGAAGTTTTTTCTCCATTGGTTACATTAGCATCACTTAAAATTTGTTTCTCTAGGTAATAAATACAGGTTACAAATGTGTGTATATGTAGAGGTTATAAGGCTCTCTAAGCCATCTTGCTTCTGATTTTTCATTGCTCTTTAATTCCTTTTATTGAAAATACTATGTTATGAATGGTATTAAAATTTAGTCTCTGAAACGTCAAAAACCAAGCAAAGGGATGTGACTATTTTGAATGAATCAAAATATCAGCCTGTATGTGTACTATGCTTTCTCTTTATTTAAAAAGGAATAATGAAAAATCAAGAAGAATTCTTCAGCTTTGGTTGAACTGTTCAGTTTTTTAAGACTTCTTTACTTATAATGAATACATTTAATGAATGTACATTCTTCTCACTGACTTTGGTAATTTTAAAACTTAAGAGTGATATGTTTCTATCTGTGATATCTTTCCACTTGAAAAATCTCAAAACACAGATTAAAAACCTAATAGGCTATAATACTTTTTATTTTGGGAGCCAGAATATGATTCGGGGGAAAGAAATGTATACGTCCTTCTGCAGTGTAACTTTATCTTTTCTCATAAGTCCACCTTCCAATTCTTCCTTTATATGGTATAGGATTTTGAGTCTTCTATTTCTAGGCATGTTCTTATCTTCCATTATCTTTAATATTGATAACTCTCCCAGACACCAAAGAACATATTTGATTAATTAAGTGTCTGAACAGAAACAAGATGAAAACACTGGTATTTTTATGTGCGTATTCAATATCGTATAAAATATAAAACCTATATTTTAACTTAGCAAAATATTTTACTACTTCTGTACTTTAGACAGAGTGTTGCCTCCAAGGTACAATGAATGAGCATTTTTCTTGAGTCTTGATCCATCTTTTATTCCTTAAAAAGCAACTTGGACCCTTTACTCCCCTAAAGAGTTTTTACCACTAGAATTGCTGCTGATCATTCATCTTATGCCATTCCCGTCCTCCCCGCCCCCCTACATTTAGCTCCTTTCTGGGTTAAGCTGACATTACCTAGCCTCATTTTGAAATTTAATGCTGTCATAAAAATGAGAAGCACTTAATATTTATTTTTTAAGTAACCACAAAAGTCCATGTCAGTAATGAATAGAAAAAGTATTTATTCATATGGAATTTACTAGGTTCTTCAGGAAAAAAGCAGTCAGCATTTTAAATTATTAGGATTTAGGATATGTATAAGATTTTAACAGATTGTGCCCCGCCCCCCCTTCTTACCTTCTTTGCATCCTTTCTTCTTGAAAAGAAAACTCAAATTTGTTCACATTAGAATTTCTCAGTATATAAATCTGTTTTCAAAATATGTATTGTATGAACTTTCTCCATGATGAAATAGTCAAGGACTAGAATCTGTAATATTTTAATGTAAGATTACTTGTTAAGACTACTACAAGTGGACATGAACTACCTTTCTATAAAGATTTTTAGTATTTATACTTATGTATGAAATTTACAGAGTGTGGTTATAACTCAGAACATCTACTTTCAATAGGGTTTATTTTTCTATCTTGAATTTGCCTTACGTGTATTCAAAAGCTCTGGAAATAACATTAGGAAAAGTACAAATATGCTATGAATTTCATGTATCTTAAAATCAGACCCTTAATGCATAGTTAATTTCTTTTCCTTTTTTAAAAATTCATTCCCTTATCTAGGTCCATGGAATTCATTTTATAGCCATTAATTCTAAGGGAAAAAAAAAAAAAAACTTCTGGCCAGTCACTCTCCTTTTCTCATGACTCCAGGTCCTGTAGCAGTGCCTGTCATGGTGCCTTGCACATAGTAGGCATTCAGTAAATGTTCTGTGCATGAATGAGTGATGGAGTTTCAGTATAACTGGTTTATTACAAAGCATTGACTCTACTTGATCTTGGAGCTTAAAAATATAGAATCACAATGAATGAAGAGTCCTATGCACATATTTTGATGGAAATGAAATACACATTAGTAAGCTTGATTTATCCACAAGTAACTGGAGACACCCGTGTCTTGTCCCACCAGTAAAAGAAAGCTCCTTTTCTTCATTTGTAGGATACTTTTCTGAGTCGGGCAACAGTCAGAAGCTTGTGAGTTTCCATCAGCAGCCCTCAACCCTGACTGTATACTAGAATCACTTGGGGGCCTTTAAAAAAATTCCATTACCTGAATCCTGTTTCTGATTTTATTTGTCTGGGATGAGACCCATTCATCAGTATTTTTAAAAAGTCCTTCAGGTAATTTTATGTTCAAAAACATAATTGAAAATCACTGGTTAAATATGAAAACAAATATTGTGTCGTCTCCTCCTTTTTTTGTTTTTGTTTTTTTCTTTTGTGGCCACCTTTTTGCACTAGACCATCCCCATTATTGGTGGTATTGGCCTATGGTTCCACATGACAAATTCAAGTCTTATTTATTTAATGTAGGAATATTTTGTTTAATATTTAAATAATGTTTAATATATTTCCTTATAAACTAGTCTTATAGTTCATGATTTGTTTCCCATGTATCCATCTCCTTTACTAACTTTTTCTTTCAACAGCAGCATGACAATAGTCCAAAAGAAGTAACTGATTCATAATGGGAAAAATTTCATAATTTTTAAGGTAGAAGGAAGTAAAGTATTAATTTCTTATCTGCCATGCAGAATTAGACAAATAGAGTCTGCTTATGAAAGGAAAGAGGCATACTTTTTAATTGGTCTACACAGAAAAGTAAAAGTATTCATTTAAATAAGATTCATTATCTAATGAACATTGAAGGAAATATTTTTCCTAAATAAAAAATATTGTGACTCCTAATAAAATTAAAGTGATGACATTGTTCTTTTTTTGGAAGGTGGGGAGGGGGGTATTTAGTTGCCATATTTCTTACTACATAGCAATTCTATTTTATTGGTATTAATAATAGAAACAGTGATGATAGGGTATACATATGTGGCCAGGAATAAATTGCCACTCTTCCAGATAACTGTTCTATGAGTCTTACTAATTTATAAATCAGCTTATAAAATTTTTTAAGACCAGTGGTATATTTTATAATATTACAAATGCATTCTTTATAAAAGCTGGTCAAAATTAACCATGAAAAATAATCACTTTAACCTTAATATTACATGACTGAGCTTTTATTATTCAGTTGGATTTGATGTGGAACGGACTACTCTAACCATGGTATATTAACTTTAGAAATAAAAAGGGGAGAAATGACTGAATTTGACTTAAGAATTGGATTAGAAATTTGGAAATGCCACTTGCTATGTGTTCTGGGCAGTTCATTGCCACATTGGCAACTCATTGCTGACTCAAGACCCCAGCACAGTTTCTACATTAACATGTTGGAATAATTAAGAAAAAAAATTTAAATGTATAATAGATGTATAAAGAATTATATTTAGTAAATGGATAATAGGTGATAACACTTCCAGGTTATTGGTCTGTTTGTTTTTTTATGTATTATTTTAGGTAGTGTTTATAAGAATATCTTGGGAGTTACAAATGTGTGCCATTTAAGTGAGTAAAGTTAATGAAATAAAACTAATTTTATTGCCGAAGTTCAAAAAGTGGGGTGATGCTATGTCAAATTTTAGTAAATAACCTACTCTCAGAATTTTGCCATTGAATTCCATTTCTATCCACTTTAAATTTACTATAAGTTACTTAACCTCCATGTTTGATTATAGTGTAATGTAGTTGATGTACATGGTGTAGGCACTATAAGTGATTATCCATCAATTTTTTTCTTTCTCAAGCAAAGTGGTTCTTGAATAGAGTTTAAGTCGAAACCTGATAATGTGTTCTACTCATTCTGATTTAATTTCAGTGGATTTTAAGTCTCAGGTTTAATTGTGAATAAAACATTTTGTAGTACTTTAATACTACTCATCCCCCAATGTGCATGCACACACACACACCCCCACACATACACACACTCTCTTTCTCTCTCCCCCAACCAAGAAGACAGAAAAATCACATTCAATCAAGAAGACAAAAACTGTAGTGTGGGGTAGGATATAGATGATGAAAGTCTTTAGATAAAATGATTCATGAGATTTTTTTCAGGCATAGTATTCCTCTGCTTGGGAAATAAATGCAATATAAGTTTCCACTTTGAAAACTAAATACATTTATAGTCACCTTTTCTGTTAATAAATTAAATAATATAGCAACTCATAGTTCTTCATAAAGATAATAATCTATGTGCCTGGCTGAACTTGCAGCTTGATTATGGTCATGTTTCTTATATCCTGTTGTAATAGAATTAAGAGTGTATCTTGATAAATTACATTATTTTTACAGTTTGAGCATCCCGACTTTTAAAGCTTCAAAAAAACTCTACTCCCACATAATCAAATCATTAGCAGCAGCATCATATTGGTGGGGCCAGTAATGTGTGAATCTTCTGCAGCAGAATGTCTTTAATGAAGAGTTTAATGGGCCATATTCAAACTTAATTTCCATCCAATTCATAAGTGCCCACTAAATATGTATTTTATTCTGCTCCCTGTTCCTTTGAACCTCTGCTCTTGGGTGAGCTTTCACCTAACTAAAATAAATGTATGAGTTGTAAATGTTGAATTTGTTTTAGGCCTCAGAGGTGCTAGTATATAAGTAACGGCATATTGCCAAATAAGCTTTTTTTCTCTCATTCTCTAAAACACTTTCCTTTTATATTTAATTGTATAATGATCAGCATTATAGAAGACTTTCCCTGTTAGTTTTCTTAAATGACCACAGAAAAACAGTAAAATTAGCCCTGGAGAAGGCTCTGCTGTTGAGTCTGTCTCATAATTATTTGTAGATCCTTTGGCATAGAATTACTTATAGTTTATAATTCACCCTCATCTAGAGAATGTTGATTTATATCATGAAACTGATATGAATAGGGCTGAGACCATAAGAAACAGAAGACATGTGACAGATCTATTTATCACATTTGGATATTTTATTGGGCTTCATTTGCCCAAAAAATCCAAGTGGAAGTACATTGGGTCATACAGCATTCACTGTGAAAAAACATGGTAATGTATATTCACAGAACTGCCATTATGCAGTTTACAGTGTTAAAGATGAAAGTGTGGTAATAGCATTGATTTTTCTTTTTTAAACTTGTTAGATAACATGTTTCTCTTTAAAATGGAGTAATGTGAAGGTTTATCAAATCATTGTATGTGTAATGGCTGGGGGAGATCAGAGGAACTTGTTCGTGGCTCATTAGTTATTTTAGCCCAGCTGGGCATTACTAATGTTTATGGTGGTTTTGATTTTAAAGAGTTTGCATTCTTAGTTATGCATTTTTATTCCATAATGCACCACTGAGCACAAAAAGAAAGTGTAAAAGAGTTACTGATGATGAAATAAATTGAGGAGCATTAATGTAGTTTAAAGCAAGTTGATGTAGGAATTTGAGGAGAAAAATTATAAGGGAACTCCACCCCATGGAGAAATATAGTAGGAGTTGGGCAACGATGTATCCTGTTTTGGGGTTTCGGTCATATAGTGACTAGGCAGAACTGTGGTGTGATACTTTTCCCCCCTCCACTGGCATTTAGTTGCAGGTGGTGGTGGTCACTCACTCAGTGGTGTCTGACTCTTTGCAACCCCATGGACTGTAGCCCCCCAGGCTCCTCCGTCCATGGACTTCTCCAGGCAAGAATACCGGAGTGGAGAGCCATTTCCTTCTCCAGGGAATCTTCCTGACCCAGGAATCGAACCTGCATCTCCCATGTCTCCTGCATTGGCAGGAGGGTTATTTACCAGCGAGCTACCAGGGAAGCCCAGCATGTGTTCACTTTCATAAAAGGTGACTTTTGCAGCTTCCGCAGCTTAAACTTTTTATCTCCAATTAGGACTTCAGCTTCATTAACCAAATTTTGACCCAACCTGGTGTATAGAACCTGAATCCTGCTCTAACTGATCAGTTAACCCTGTGTCACCAGGGTCTGACCCCGGACAGGTATTATTTTTATGGTTCCCACCTGATCCCAACCTTTCTTCTCCCAGTCCAAGGTTCTGTTGGCATTTGCGTTCCTGACATTACCTGACCCTGAGTCAGCTTACCACAAAAATTAGCCCCAATAGCCAACCCCTCAGGGAAAAACAAATGAAAGTGTCCTGCTCTGTTTCACAGAGAAGGGCATCTCTTACTCCCGGGTTAAAAGTCAGCAGCAGAGTACAACTAAGAACATTTTCTTTTTTTCACAAGAAATGAAATTTTTAAAAAATGTGTAGCCCTTGAGTGCTTTCATCAGACAGTGAGGTTTATGATCCCGTCAACATTTAGCCAAAAGCAACTTCCTAAAAGACTTAGGTATTTGGTAGAGTGTGATTATAAATGTTTCAGCTCTCACCAAGGATGTTTAGATTATGTAAACTTCCCTGGATTCACTGTGCGAGAATCTCACATGAATATGGAAGACAACCAATTAGAAATCACCCGACCGTGTAACCTTTGCTAAGCCACTCAACCTCTCAACACATTGGTGTCTTTGCTACGTGGTGATGGTAATAGCAACATTATAAAGTGGTTATGAAAATTATGTATGTAAACAGGATATTTATAGAGTTAGTGTTGGGCTCTAGTAGCAGGCAAATTTTTTTACCCCTGAGCCACCGAAGAATCCAGTAGAGGGGATAGGTTTAGTTGCTCAGTCGTGTCCAACTCTGTGGCCCCAAGGAACTGTAGCCTGTCAGGCTCCTCAATCCATGTGATTCCCCAGGCACGAATACTGGAGTGGGTTGCCATTTCCTTCTCCAGGGGTAGAGGGAATAGGGAGAGAAAAAAGTATTGTGTGGTGAATGAAAATGTAAAACCACTAAGTCTTCATCTTTCATGAAGAAAGTCAATTGATAATGTCTTAAATTGAAAAATCAAGAGAGATGACTTTGAACAACTTGCTTAGAAATACAGAGTTTTGACCTGGGTTCCTCAGAAGGCAGACCCTGAGGCAAAGGCAGACAAACTGCTCCTTTATTAGGGACAGAGAAGGATAAATGGGGAAATGAGGGCACTAATGAAGGGTGGTTGCCAAGGTGTAAACCAGATCAGCCTCTCGTCAAGCACGACCAGTGGTTCACTCTCACAAGAACATCCAGTGAGAGGCCATATAAATGACCGTGACTGGAGACAGCCCGTTCTGGTGGGAATCCAGGGAAGGAGGAGGTTTCCCTGGAGGTTCAGTGGTAAAGAATCCACCTGCCAATGCAGGGGACTCGGGTTCAATCCTTGGATCAGGAAGATCCCCTGGAGGAGGAAATGGCAACCCACTCCAGTATTCTTGTGTGGAGAGTCCCATGGACAGAGGAGCCTGGTGGGCTACAGTCAATGGGGTTGCGGAAGAGTCAGACACGACCTAGCAACTAAACAACAGTAACAAAGGGAAGAAGACAATCACCAGCTTCCATATCTCGCTGGTGAAAGGTTCACTTCACATTAAGTTAGGCAAACATAGTCACCAAGCGTGCCAGCTGATACCTCAGTGCTAATAGGGAAGTCTTCATGTGAGGTAAGAGGCAGAGGAGGTAGGAGGTGGACTGGACGTGAGAGCCTGTTTGTCCACCACTCAGGGAAGTGACCTAGAACCCCAGGCAGAGTTGGTTCCTGCAGCGATGACAGAAACTAGTCGTCAAAGTCTGGAGGCAAGTGAGGTTGTCTGGCTCTGAAGTTGCACTTAGGGGTGTTTGATAAAAAGGGTAATATTTTTTAAAAAGCAACTAAAAGAAGAAAATGGAATTTGACTTCCCATGGGAAAAGGAAAAAAAAAATTTCCTATGAGAAAAGGCAATCAGGAGTAATAAAAATTAGGACAAGATTCTTGAAATATAATTTTAGTTACTTGATTCTTGTGCATGTATTATGCAATGTAATCCTTATCAAAATACCAGTGGCATTTTAAAAAAACAGATCTAGAACAAGAAAGCTTAAAATTTGTATGGAAGCACAAAAGACTCCAAATAGCCAAAGCAATCTTGAGAAGGAAAAATAGAGTATAGTCTGAAGTCTCCCTGACTTCAGACTATACTACTAAGGGCTACTGTAATTAAGACAGTATATGCTACTGTCACAAAAACGAAGACATAGATCAATGGAACAGGATAGAAGGCCCATAAATAGACCCAGACACCTATGGTCAATTAATCTATGATGAAGAAGGTAAGAACTTGCAATGGAGAAAACACACTCTTCAACAAGTAGTACTGGGAAAACGGGACAGCTACATGTGAAAGAATGAAATCAGAACATTTTCAAGTTTGCTTGGGGGGCAGGGGGGCTCTTTCATGTTTTCATAACAAACAAAATTTTTTGTTCTAATTCTGTGAAAAATGCCATTGGTAATTTGAGAAATGCACATTAAAACTACAATGTGGTGTCACCTCACACCAGTTAAAATGGCCATCATCAAAAAACCTACAAACAATAAATGCTGGAGAGGATGAGGAGAAAAGGGAACCCTCTTATACTGTTGGTGGGAATGTAAATTGATAAAGCCACTATGGAGAACAGTATGGAGTTTCCTTAAAAAAATTGAAAATAGAGTTACCATATGACCCAGGA